CAGTTAATATTAACCATCAGCCACCTTCAGTTTGGTGAATGGTTGTTAAATAACCAGATTTAACTGACATTAATTACACTTACATTAACAATAAAACATTCATTTAAAAATTATTGATTTAAAGAACTTACAAAATTACATCCATGTAACACAGCTTCAACAATGCCAGCAATGAAAGATGCACAGTTCAAGCTTCCTGTGAAAAAGTATGAAATGAAAAAAAGTATAAAAACCAGGAGGCAGCTCCAAGCTGGCCAGAATCTGTTTAAGCTATCAATTAACTGCACAGTATTCAATGCCTGATGACCCTGGAACTCCCAAGATCTGATTGTTAATTCTCCCCTTTAGCTGTTACACATTTCCTTGTAAATTAGTTATGAGAATTTGGTGTTATATCAGGAAAACAACTTCTACTTGATCAGTTTCAGTATTATAGGGAGAAGTTACTTGTTGAACACTTCTGAGAGGTAAAGGGTTAAGAGATTTCTTCCCAGTCACAAACATAATCATAACTATTACAATTTCCTCAAATGTGATTGATGCACTAACTGCTTTGTTTTTGACTAATTATTTTGTAGGGTTGTAATCAGACAGTTGGCTGTAATCAAACACTTGTAATCATACACCTGTAATCTGACATCTGATGCAGTTAATTGTACCTAGTCCACTCAGATAAATCTACCAATCACAGAATAGATCCTGATAACCATAACAACAACCACTCACCATGAGAAAAACTGGGAATTTCCAAAATGGAGTAATTTGTAACTCAAGACATTGTCTCCACTAGATGTATCTTTTTTGGAAATTGTAATGGCTATGATTAATTGGTAACAGGACTTTGTGTCTTCCAATTCTGTCTTAATTCATATGAGTGATTAACAAAATTGGATGATTGCAAAGTGTGAGTCTGATTTGTTTATAACTCATGTGATTACAGACCACTCAGTCCCACAACCATTATTAACTAGGTAAATTTCTTGTCTGCCAATAGGAAACTTAAATCACAATGATTATGACCCAGTTTAGATATTTAAAATTAAGCTTTATACAATAGAACTCACCATGAAGCTTGGGGGAATAAAAATAATATAGAGTTTTAAGGGTTTATACCTCAGAACCTCTCATAACATTTAAATCCTGAATTTAAAACATTTCAAACTGGTGCTCAAATTTCACATAGATGTGGGATTGCACCAACACCAACTCACACTAATCACATCTTTCTTTCATCTGTTCATGTCTAATGAAAATAATTTCTAGTTCTTTTATACCTCACTTTAACCTTTAACTCCCAAGATCTCATTAGCAATTCTCCTTTCTGTCTACCATACAGTTTGTTTGGAGAATGTAGTATTGGATCCACTAAAAATCCCCAAATTGATATTTTTCTTTTTTCTCATCTCTTATCTGCTTAATATCATCTTGATATCATAAGGAGAAATTCTGCTTTGATCACTCATGAGATTTTAAGGGTTAACTCCTATAAATGATTAACATTTAACCTCTCACTGCAATATCTATACATTGTCCAGCAAACAGGTAATGAGAATATTCAAACATATCAAGTAGAAGTTGTTGTCTTGATCTAACACCAAATTCTTGTAACCAATTTAAAAGGAAATATGTAAAAGCTGGAGGAGAGAATTGACTATCAGATCTTGGGAGTTAAAGGGTTCACAGGTTCTAAAATTCTACACTGTACCTTTGTCCTTTGGAACTGAGATAAACTTATTGACAAGAGGTTCTTTTTCAATTATATAATCTGAAAGGACTGTTAAGGTCTTGCAAACTTTTTTGATGCAGATCAAACTCTAGTCACTTAAGGGAAACATGCTGTCAGCGATTTGCTATAAAACATATTTGCTACAGTAATAATCATTTTAACATTTCTTAACACAAGGCCTTTATTTCTAGAAGGATGATCAACTGTGAATTGTTCTGGGAATTCAGATTCAGAATTTCAATTTAATGTAGCAGATTAAGTTCCCATGACTACTTAACATGGAGATACCCTTTTACTAGGACAAGACCTGCATCTAGTTGTGCGAAGGGTATATAACATCAAACACTGGATAAATCTCTAACCAGTGGATAATGCAGTACTTATGTTAAATATTAAAACTTATTCCCTGGATAGCAATTTATCTGTTGGATAGTGTGATGCACTCTTTGAACTGGTGGACCATGGAGTTCAGTTTGCTTTGCTTCTCAATAACCAGTGTTTCAAAAGAAAAGACATAAGCCACTTAAGCAGTCATGTGTAATCTTGTTGCTGCCAGAAGTTTGGCCTCAGAAAAGTTGTAAACAAATCCACACATCTGATGGGGCATTGTTCAGACCTCCTCAAACCCTTCCCTCCCCCTGACTCTGCTATTGCAACACCTGGAAATGGTTAACATGTCACCAAGAAACCTGTGCGTGGACAGAGTATGTACCCAGAAGTGGAATGAAGGAAGGATAAGAAACAAGCAAAATAGCACAAAAGCAGAACGAGTCAAAGCACTTGGTAAGGGCCCTGGACTTTACACATCACTCTACTCTTATAAATCCCTGCTTTGAGGGTGGAAAAAGCTTTCTTTACATGAGGCAATGTGATTAAGCCCAAAATTATGACATAAGCCAAGCTGCAAGTTAAGTGAGATTTGAAATTTCCCTTTTAAATTCTTGATGCATAAAATACTGCAAGATGCCCAAATTTTTCTCAAATTTGTACCTGACATGATCAGGATCTCCACTTTGATACCCTCTGCACTGACTTGACTCAAACTTTACCTTAATTGCATTTAACCTTATTTTTAACTAAACTCAAAATGATAAGGGGTGTCACTCTAATTGCCTCACAATAAAGAAGGATACATGTTTTGTCATCATCATTAGCTTGCTCCAACTTATCAGCTTCTTTGCCAAATAAGGACTACAAGGAAATGAAATATGAAAACAACAAGAAGTTAATAACAATGAAATCAGATTCTGAAAGATAAAACATCTAAAAAATATATTTAAAAAGAAAGTCTCATTTTTTAAAATTCCATATTAAAATCCAAAACAGGATCCTGCTTGACATAATTTTATATTAATCCTTTCACTCCCATGTGTGACCAAGACAGAATTTCTCCTTACAATATCAAGCAGATATATAATAAGAGTGAAGCAAAATATATCCATATAAGGTGATTATTAGTTGATCCAATACCAAATTCTCTGAACTTACATCATCCCATTATCAACTCAGTAGATAACAGCAGATAATCTTGTGATATAATTTTTTTTTTCTGCTACACTCTATCTACACTTTATGGATAAACCCTTAAACTCCCAGAGGTGATTAACATGTAACATCTCCCCATAATATCCATACATTATTCTCAAAAGGGTGATGAGAATATTCAGTATTATCAGGTAAAAGTCGTTATCTTGATCTAACACCAAATTCTCCTAACTAATTTACAAGGAAATGTGTAGCAGTTAGAGGGAAGAATTAAGAATTAAATCTTGGGAGCTGAAGGGTTAAAAGGTTAAGTAGTGCACTTGAGCCAAAGAGCCTGCAATGCCGCAACTTATCCTTAGGGTGGGAAGAGAGTGGGACGAGAAACAGAGTGATAGTCAGATGCAGTTTTGGCTTGTGTGTCATCCATTCTTGTGGTTTTTTTTATTAACCCTTTAACTCCCAAGATTCCATTAGTAATTCTCCTTACTGTCTGCCATACAATTCTTATGATGTCAATTTGGAGAATTTGGTATTGAATCAAGTAATAATCCATTTAATTGATATTTTACTTTATTCTCATCACTTCTATCGTGATATTGTATTGATATTGTAAGGAGAAATTATCTCCTAGTCACTCACGGGAGGTAAAGGGTTAATTAATAATACTTTTTACTTACTTTCCACAAAACTGATTTAATGAAAAGGAGAATGTTTAGCACTCTCACTTCCCTTTTCATTCCTTTCTCTCTCAACACCAACACATCAAGCACTCTGGAACCAACTTGTTGGCCTAATTCTGACAACCTGTTTAAATGATTAGAATCAAAATCACTAACAATAAAGTGCCCAAGAAATCCATATTATTTTTTCGGAAGTATCTATGTGCACCAGAATCCTAAATCCTTGAATCTGATTGGCTAATTGTGCACTTGTAAGTCCAGCTTTTCAATATACAGATCACTGTATGGAATTTTTGTGGTGTTCATACAGAAAAAAAACTATGCACTGAGGACCTTAAACAAGATTGAAACCCCACTACCCCTGGCAAATAACATAAATTTTAACAGAAGTTACATAGAAGGTCTTTTTTGTTTGTCTCTCAGTCTGCACAGCTCACGATCTAAATACTTCCGTAATTCGGTCAACCAGTAATCAGTTAAACGGTCATTATTCTGCAGAAAATGTGGTGCTGCGTCAGTGGGAGAGTACAACGGGTTAATTTAGAGTTATCAACTGAGTTTAAAACGTAAATTGGTCACCGTAAAGAGTTTAAAGACTGACGTTTCGAACGTAAGCCCTCCGTCAGAGCGATCGAGCATCAGTCTATTTGTCACATATCAGTCAATCAATTGAATTACTTCCAGAACATTTTCATTCTGTACAAGACAGTCGTAAAACCAGTAGATGACATATTCAAAATCAAAATCTCCCAATTAGCTAAACAGGAATGCTATCGCATGAGATTAATAAAACAAATTATGATATTTTCGCTCCTAAGGTTATGTTTTTACTCACTTGGTTTGAAGTTCCGGTACAGTGTGAACTCTGTTTTGGCAATACTGAACCATCTCCGAAAACAGCAAGCCAAAAGTGCTGACATTTATCTACAAAAAACATATGGATCGTTCTAAGAGCACAAAAAAGTAGTCAGCCGATTAAAGATCAACCACTGAATACCTCATTCCGCCCTTTACTGAGCGGTTTTTCGAGGATGTTTGACGATCTACCTCTCCGGACTGACTCCATCTTGTTTTAGGCCTGGCTGCTAAAGTAGAAGGCTTGGCTGGTAATGTAACAAAATGGCGGATGCAGAAGATGCAGAGCGTCTTGAAAGAAAATCAGTCGTAGATCGATATTTTACGCGTATTTTTAAAACGGGTTTGTCATGATTACAGTTTAAAGTTTGCTTTTTTCGATGTTTGTCAGGGTAAAATTTAGATTATTCTCTTTTTGCTACAATTCACAGATATAATGGGGAAATTTTGCGAAGATCAATGTGTGCTGCAGCATTCAAACAAGTAAGAAGCTGGAAGAAACAAGGAACGACTTGATCTTCACAGAAAAACTGCAGTTTAAGCCATCAAAGGAAAATACATCTGAGGAGCATATATTTTTTACAGACTTATTTTTCTGCATTTGCCTAAACTGCAGTTAACTTTCGAATTTCAATGTCGTTTCTATGCAGAGTAATTTTATTCACTTAGGGTGATTCCTTTGAATTAAAAATTGTCTTTTCAAAAACCACAACATAAAAGGTAGGTCCCCGTGCTTGCTTAAGAGATATGATAGGCCAATCTGACCCCATATATGTACCTGTATACGTACAGGTAATAATCACGCGCATTGTTTCATCAGTTCATGGTTCACGGCCGGCAAGGGTTTTGGAAAAAAACTTGTTGGGTAGAATATCCAGAGCATTGCCTTCAAGGTCATAATTTGCACCTTATACATGCTTTTAGTGTTATCATTTTTTCCTTTAGATTTTTATTTTTTCAACTTTTTTTTCAATACTTAAAATTAAGGGAATAATTTTACACCAAGATTAAGCAATGAAAAATACAGGTAATTGTGTTTGCTCAAATTAAAAGACTTTTGTACCTGTCTATCTTGTCCATTGACCCTTTAACTTCCATGAGTGACCAAGAGAGAATTTCTCCTTACAATATCAATACAATATCAACCAGATAAGTAATGCGAATAAAGAAAAATATCAATTTGGGGATAATTTGTTGATCCAATACTAAATTCTCTGAACTAATATTATAAGAATTGTATAGTTGACAGTAAGGAGAATTACAATTTGATCTGGGAGTTAAAGGGATTAATTGAAAAAAACAAAAAATACTGTACAGAATGTTCTTGGATTTTGCATACCTTTACTAGATTAAACCTTTAACTCCTACGATATGATTGTCAATTCTCCCCTTTAGCTGCTACACATTTCCCAGTAAATTAGTTAGGAGAATAGGGTGTTAGATCAAGATGTCCCCTTTAGCTGCTACACATTTCCTTGTAAATTAGTTAGAAGAATAGGGTGTTAGATCAAGATGTCCCCTTTAGCTGCTACACATTTCCCAGTAAATTAGTTAGAAGAATAGGGTGTTAGATCAAGACGTAAACTTCTACCTGATGAGTTGCAGTATTCCCATTACTTGATTGCTAGATACTGTATGCATATTATAGGGAGAAGTTAGTTGTTAATCACTTCTGGGAGTTAAAGGGTTTATTACTTGTTGTTCTGTGCAGTACAGGATGCGCATTGAAATACTGAGGAATCACCTTAGCAGTATTGAGATGAGCTTGAATGAGTTCTGGCAGTGTAATGATTATTATGATTTACAGCAGGTTCTTGTTTTTACCTCAGAATCATGGCAAAATATTTTGCTCTCCATTTTTTTCAGGATATGTGTGATTACTGTAGCACCAAGTCACCCTTTACTCCAATGTAAGCAGATTGTGAAAGTGAATTTTCAAGTGAGCACCAAGGTGAATCGATTGGATAACAAAGTTTCTGGGAAAGGGAAGAAAGGTGCCCAGCATTTACAACCAGAGTCTTTAATTTGTGAAGTCACAAGCTCAGATGGCAGCAAGTATTCACTGTATAGGTATGAGAGATTTTTTGTATACAATGAAAAATTAGTCCTTACACTTTAAATCTTGTATAGTGTTAAACCAGAGAATATACCTAGGCATTTGTAATGTCAGATTTGCCAAACTCTACAAATCTGAAGATGTAAGATGGGATGATTTCCCCCCAACCAACCCCTACCGAAATTTTCTTGTAACCGTTTTGTCCCAGTCTCTGCCCACAAATTGAAGTTCCTTATTAAATTGGAGGTACATCAGCAAAATTACAACAGCTATGCTCAGACAGAAAACGTAATTCTTTCTAAATAATTGTAAAATTTATATTGTCTGCCATTCTCTTTAAGAAGGAAAAAAACTATTCAAATTTGCTACTATTTGGGTGATTTAGGAAGCTGAACTAGTGGTTGAAGAAATTTTTTTTTCCTATCCAGGAGACACTCTGATATTAGGTTGGAGATTTCACACATTAACCCTATAACTCCCAAGATCTCATTAGTAATTCTCCTTACTGTCTGTAGTGTAATTCTTGCGATGTTGGTTGGAGAATTTGGTATTGGATCAACTTTTAATCCCCTAAGATCTTTTTCTTTATTCTCATCACTTATCTGCTTGATATTGTATTAATATTGATAGGAGAAATTCTATCTTGGTCACTCATGGGAGTTAAGGGGTTTATACAAACTATTAATGCTTGATGTGTTTATATATCATGATCTCATACATAGCTGCATCAGAGGAAAGCTGGTTGAAGTTAATGAAAAACTGGTCACAAATCCACAACTGTTGCTAGAAAAGGTTTGGCACTAACAAATCTGTAAATGTATTAATTTGTATTAGTGTTGAGAGGAGGGATTTTCAAAAGTTTTTAATTGTGCTGCATTTCACCCTTTCACTCCAAAGATCTCATTAATAATTCTCCTCTCTGTTTCCCCTTCAATTCTTATGATGTTACATGTAGTTTAAAGAATTTAGTATTGGATCAATTGATAATCTCCTTATTGATATTTTTCTTTGTTCTCATCACTTGTCTGCTTAATATTGTTTTGATATTGTAAGGAGAAATTCTGCCTTGGTCACTAATGGGAGTTGAAGGGTTAAAAATCTTTTTGTTGCACTGCTAGAAATGTGGGACAGCTGTACTGTTTGCTCACATGTCTTGTGCAACAAATGAAAATACGCAACCTCAATCTCGTCAGAGTTCTTGGCTGATTATGCTTCCCGCTGAAAGGTGTATTTACTACTTCCAGATTAAAGTTTATTTAACACTTTCTGCTTTCTTTTTTTTTTCCTTTAGCCACAAACTGAAGGCTACCTTGCTGTAGTCCTCCCAAAACTCACTGAGAATATTCTGAATGGACTTTTGACAAAAGAACACTATGAACAACTTTTAGAGGACAGGAAAGCACTAGATGGTATGAGATTAACAATTTGTTTTATTTTGTTGACATTTTCTAGGTAAGAAAAGATTTGATTTTAGAACTTTAACCTTTTCACCCCTTAGAGTGACTTAAGCATCTAAATTCTCTTACAATATCACCCCTGAATCAAACATTAAAGTCATGAGAATTAAGGATATGATCACCAACTAAAGAAGCTGTTGATTGTTAAACAAATTCTCCTTGTCAGCACCTAAGGAAAAATATAGAGAACAGTATGGAGAATATGCACAGCATACTGATGTTAGGTGCAAAGAGGTTAAAAGTAGAAGAATATAGTTTATGGATTCTTTCATGCGATGCACTATTCTGTACAGCGCCTCACAGTGATGAACAGCACTGACACAGCACAACACAAGTCTCTTTTGAACCATTTCAATCAAACGAGTTTCATGATATGAACAATATTCTTATACCTTCCATGTTTTCTTTAGTCAAAAGCGGGTGATATTTACCTCAAGAGTGTCAGGGTTTTTGTAGAGGACCCGATCGTTTACGAAGACACCCGAACACTTCCAGGGCAAATGGCTGCAACTGTGGCTGTGAGTGAAGAAAGAAAGATGGTGTGATGGTAAAGATTACTTTTCTTTAGCAGTCTTGTTGATGGTTCGTTGATGTTTGAGGAAACGAGGAGAGTATCGTCAGCCATTGCATTCGTCAACATAGAGCACGTGTTTACATACGGGATAACTTCGTAATGGCTTTGCTCACCGTTGAGTCTCTGTGGCTGAGTGGTAGAGCATCGTAGTGCGGAACCCGAAGGTTTGAGGTTCGATTCGTCACAGAGACTCAGAATTCTTTCTTTATCTCACGTTCGTGACAAGACGAAAAAAACACTTTCGCACTTCATGCATGTACAAAACAACATTGTTGCAGAGATGTTAGTTGTGAAAGGCCAGCTTTTCCCAATTTCCTCACCTTGGGTGAAAAACTGTTTTTATCGATTACGGGAAAACGTCATCCATCTGAAAATAACGGCTGTATACTCGTTTTATTTCACAAGAGAAATTGATATATTGTATCCAGTTTTATATTTAAACTTTGAGGAGAAACCGAATGGAGGATTTTAAAAATTTGCGAAAAACTGACTGGTAATATTATAATTGTAAGCTTAAAAGGAGCCATAAAGTTAGCAGTTTCTATCATGTAACAGAAATACTGGATATGAAAAGATCCAATCTCCCTCTCTTAATAAAGCTCGAGACGATCACTGACTTCATTTTGGCAACTTGCGAGTTGAATCGAAATAACACCAGTCATTTACAAACGATGGGCATGTTTTGTGGTTTTTTAGTCTTTAAAACCCCTAAACTCTCAAGATCTGATTTTGAATTCTCCCTTATAACTGCTATGCATGCCCTTGTAATAGTTGCGAGAATTTGTTCTTTGGTCAAGATGACAACTCTGACCTGCGATAAGTTTCAGTATTCTCGTTACCTGTTTGCTTGTTAGTGTATTGATATTATAGGGAGAAGTTAAATGTTAATCACCTCTGCGGAGTTAAAATGTCAATAGTGCACCGAAGCAATTGCAATAAACTGATTTTGTTTCTAATCTTCAAAAACTGGGGATTTCTTAAGCAAACTTTGAATGTAGAAAAAAAGATTGGATCTCGAGTTTTTTCAGATTAATACTTGTGAGCGGAAGACATCCCGATCGTAAACAAAGCTTTAAACCTCCGTTTTTGGCCCACTTTTAGCTTCCCATGGTAATTTATTGCTATACTATTAACTTACGCGCTGTTTTTAAGCTTTCACAACCAATAGTCGCTTGATCACGACGCGTAATAGCGAGTTTAAGTGTGAAGTTTATAACCGCAGATAGCGAAAATGAACTCGTAGTTAACTCACTTTTGGTAAAGTTCTTAAATTAGTGCTACAGCAAAATAGCAGAAAAAAATTTCCAAAGCTAATAGAGAACAACGACTGAAAGAAATAGGCAAGAAATTAAAATTGTGTCTTTTGCCGAAGAAGTTCGTGCCTCACATCAAATGCCGCCCCAATCTTTTCTCTCATCTGAAGCTCGCTTCATACCGAAAGTGACTAGACAGACTACCAACGGCCCATTTGCGCACTTTCCTTACCTGACAAAACATCGCTTTTATAAAATTAATCCCAGAATGCGACGCAAGAGACAAAGTTTTACGTCACGAAAAGGTTTGTAACTGATGCGCGCGAGAACGGACGTCACAGAGCTCAATGAGGTCATAGCGAGTTGGAACGAAATGAAATACTCCACACGATAACAGTTCACGATGGGTTTTAAAAAGACACTGAAAGCTCTTGAAATCCTTGAGAAGCCAGAAGCCATCTTTAACCGGAGGCTTCAAAGTAACCCATATCATCCATTTAACATGGTTGAACGAAATAGTAAGTGGAAATGTGGTTGTTCACGCTACTAGAAGTATGAGTGGTAGAATGTAAGTAGGCTTGATTACAGCTGAAAATTTCTTTCCGACATTCCTGTTTAGGATTGGTGGTTTAGTCAAAGCGTAATGTAAATAATGTCAGTTCTTTTCATTTTTTCTTGTCCGTGTCTTTTGTTTGTTTTGTTTTGTTTTGTTTTTGCCTGTAAAACATTGAGAGTCGATTTATGCAATAAAAATTACTGGGTTGCGATCTTTTTCGACGAGGACGTGCGCAGTTTTGGAAACTGACTCTCGGGTCCTTTTCCAATCTTTATTTACGTGAGTATGCAACAGGTTTTTTTTTCGATCAACGGTTGCTTTTCCTGGTTATTGAAGAGATCATCACCATTATAGGAGCAACTTTCCTTTAGGGGTGAAAAGCATTCCGGGATACGTAATGATTTTGTTGATGTAGAAATCACCCGTTTTATTTCAGAAAAAAATTGTACTTCTCTCGACTCGATTATCATATCTACCTTACACACGCCAAAATATCAAATTTTGCCGAGCCAAATTGAGCCAGCCGCAACTGATTCAAAGTTTTTGATTAATTTGCAGAGTTCGTTCTTGCTCTGAGTAGAAAACGATTTTACATTGGAACACTTACGGCTTTCGTTTCAATAGTTGCACTGATTAAGTGGGGAATTGCGTTTGAGGCCAGCGTAAGTATATTTGATAAACGATTACATTAAAACACATGCTAAACTAAAACAAAACAACTCAAAAAAGAATTACAGTCGTTAAATATTCTTGGACAATAAGACTTTAGATAACTTGATGATTCTCCCTTAGCTCCGGTTGGAGCATAGGCCATTAACCACTTCCGTCCTCCATCGGGTTCTGTCCTGGGCAAATCTTCCTAAAGTGGCCCAAGTGTGGCCCCAGTTTCTCATTTGGGACTCTACACCTCTTCTCCAGGAGTTCCTGGGACGACCCCTCTTTCTCTTGCCCTGGGGGTTCCAACGTAGTGCCTGCCGGGTGATGCTGTTAGCCGGTTTCCTTAGGATGTGACCTATCCATCTCCACTTTCTCTTTGAGATCTGAGTTATGATTGGTTCCTCGCCTGCTAATTCCCACAGCATCTCGTTCGTTACCCTGTCAGTCCAACTGATTTTTAAAATTCGCCTAAGGCACTTATTGACGAAGGTCTGCAATTTCTGGGACGTTTGCTTAGTTGTTCTCCACGTTTCTGAGCCATAGAGGAGGACTGCTTTGACATTGGTGTTAAAAATTCTAAATTTGGTTCTCCGTGAGATGACATGGGAGGACCACACTTTCCTCAGCATATTGAAAGCTACTCTGGCTTTGTTTATCCTGACCTTGATATCTTCATCGGAACCTCCGTCAATGCTGATAACTTGCCTTCTCATAAATTCTCTGCCAGTTGAATCTGACTCGATCCAAAGGTGATCAACACTAGTGTGTCTTTCATCGATTTGATACATGCGCTTTCGCCAGCACGTGATAAACACGGATCAGAATTTTTAGGTCATTAATGATTCTTGTGATTTTTCTGCGCGCAATCTCTACCTGAGTTTCTTGCGCAGAAGGGTGATCATTTGATAAATTTTACTCAAAATTTTAGTTTACCGTCCGGAAGACGGGTTTTGAGAATCGTTTAAAAAATTCATTTTGAATGACTTTGTTTTGATAGAACACCAGACTCTTATGAAAAGACAACGAATAAGTATAAAGCCTTCAAAAGTCACAGTTAATTATTTAATCACGGCTTTGATTATTCACAAAAATTAATAAGAGTGGTGAATTCTCAATTGTGCTTGCATAGAGAGGTGTTGAGAGCTGGTTTAATTTACATTTTACTTTGTCCCACTCTTTACCAGCAATACATGGTATTTCTCATCCTTGTGGGTGGTGTATCAGCTATCATGGCGTGGGAGAACAGAGGACACCGCACATGCGTGTTAGACGGAGAGCGTGCGCAGTACGTGTGTGTAATTGGAGAACATTCTGTGGAGAATGGCAACTTCCATAACGTTTACATTAGACTTAAAGCGCAAAAGCACGGTAAGAAGTCGGGAATATTAAAGTTGAATTAGTTTTGTTTCACGATTCATTTTAATTGGTCCAGAATACTCGTACATCTGCCTCTCAATCAATCAGATCCAGAACTAAAACTAATAATTTCTTGTTAATTGTTCACTGGGATTTTTCCCACGGTTAAACAAATTTGCTTGTTTCACTTTGATTTTTGATTGGCTTCTCGTCATGATATTCCACAACTTCCGTTTTTGGCTAGCGATAATCTTTTTAGCAGTACCCGGATCATCATATGAATTTAAAAAAATATATTTTATTATTTATATTTAGTGGTGGTCCAGTTTTCTTGTTTTCCATGAAACGTGTGTTCCCACACACTCGCCCCCATTCTTTATTGAGAACTACAAAACTTCCAGTGACGTTTCCCTTTCTACTGCTTAGCTGCTACAGTTAGTCTCAGTTGTTCAACACTCGATCAAAACGTGGTCTAACTTAGATATCTCTACACTAATTGTAGTCGTTCTCTCTCTGACGCGAGTGGGATGAGTATTGTGGACGAGAAAACGTGTGTGCCTCACGCGTCAACCTTGTCCAGTTATTTTTCTTCCCTCAGTTTTGTATTTACGCCGTCTTTGAACCATCCTTCGAAACTTTTCCCCTAACTGAGACGCAATTGCCGATAGTCTTTTATAGTCACACCCATACTTGGGTTTTATCCTGATTAGGCAGTAAGGCAATGTTGTTCTCGCTATGCGCAGTCGCAATCGTAAAACCAACCTGTCTAGTCACGCACTCGTTCTCTACATTAAGTCACCTGCGTTGCGTGATCCATTCAATTAAGACTAAACAGTTATCATTTCTCTCTCAGGGGCGGGTGAAATGTATTACTATGTCGTATTTAACGGATTCCACCTGACGGAGCAAAAGATCACATCTTATTCCAAAAACGATAAGGCAAGTGATTTAGTTAAATTCTTAGAATTTCTCTCAGTTGTAACTGTCAACCAATCTTCTTCTTCGTACATCGCTAATTTATTATCTAACATTGAAATTCAGATCAGCTTGATATCATGTTAACGTAGAAATAAACGGAATGGGAGGTCAGGCTATATATATCTAGACTTGATATAAATCGTTTGTTTCCTGACAGAGCATCAGTGAGAACTTACCTCAGCTGACAATGGAATTCAGTATTGATAATTGCTACATATGTGACAGCTCTTTTTTGAATGATGTTTGCAACGCCAGTGCACGTAAATTTTATTGTCTTGAGCGTGTCACCATACGACTGCTGTTTGCACTTCAGTTTCCTCACACCAGATAGGATTTTTTCCTTGATACAAAATAACGTAGACATTTCCGATGTTAGTTATTTTCTGAGACTCCCAGTAAAACTCGTGGATTTTACTGTTCAAGGTTTGCCACAAATCAAGTGAAAACAACTTTCTTCCATCGCCTATTGCCTGCTTAAATACTCAAGCGGTTATATAGATCTGCGCAATCTGATCGGTGGAGGATTTTTTTCTCTCATGCAATAATTGTCGTGCGGGATGATTATGAAATCAAGGACTAATATTTTAAATGGCCACTGCACAATTTTTGATGGCATCAAATTAGACAATGACCAAGAATGCATCCATTTGCTTTGATATTTATCTGAGTGATAAGATTGATTCAGACTGAGATAATATTGTCTTAAATGGAATATTTACGACGATGAGTTAAGACGCTGTCTTTTCTTCTTGTCTTATTTTAATAAACTTTTTTTTTCTTTAGAAGCTGCGTGTGTTGGCAAAGAGGCTGGCGGAAAATCTTAATCTTAACTACTTTGATGTCAAAGCCAGTTCAAGAGACCGTATCTTTTTGTCAAAACAGACATTTTTCATAATTTTGTGATAATGTTTACAAAGGTGAATAATTTAGAAAGAATGGAAATAATCGCAAAGACGTACATAACAAATCGTGTAATGTAAT